TAGACATCTCTGCTCCTGGTGAATTAAGTGATGCTGTGGATCTCTTATCCTGGTGCCTGGAGGCTGTGAGGTTCTAGATGGGGAAAAACAGGCTTCAACTGAACCCTGGCAAGGCTGAGTGGCTTTGGGTTTTGGGGCCCACTGGTTCTAGGACTATAACATCTTTGGTGCTAGAGGGGGTTGCACTGCCCCAAATGACCCTGTGTGCAATCTGGGGGTTCTCCTAGACTCTTGACTCCTGCTTGAGGAGCGGGTGGCAGTTGTGGCTAAGAGGGCCTTTGCTCAATTTTTTGTTGTGTTTCAGGTGTGCCCCTTCCTAGATTGAGGGGCTCTACTCATGGTCACTCGTGCCCTTGTCACCTCCCGGTTGGACTACTGTAATGCGCTCTACATGGGGCTGCCCCTGAAGAATATCCAGAAGTTTCAGCTGGTGCATAATGCAGCAACATGGGCAGTTATGTGTGTTTCTAGAAGAACACATGTTACATCTCTACTCCACAAGCTGCATTGGTTACCAGTCTGTTTCCAGGTCCAACTCAAGGTCCTAGTTTTGACCTTTAAAGCCCTACGTGGCATGGTATCATAGGGTTATTTGAGCGACCGCCTCTCCCTGATTACATCTGCCCATCTTTCCAGATCCAGCAGAAAGGGCATGCTGCAGGTCCCGTTGACTAGGGAACTATACTTGGCGGGTCTTAGGCGGTGGGCCTTTCTGCTATGGCCCCCGCTTTATGGAACATTCTTCTCCCCAGGGTGAGGCTGGCTTCATCCCTTTGAACTTTCTGGAGGTCCCTCAAGACCTGGTTGTACCATCAGGCCTGGGGACCCCAGGAGACTGGTGAAATATTGAGATGACTCCAGTGTAATTAATACTTGCTCTTCACCTAATTTTTTTTTATTTTTCTTTTTAGCTTATGTCTTTTACCATCTTAAAGGTTTTTTTAAATAATAGTATTAATAATTGTTTGTATATATTTATTGTTTTTTGTACGGCACCCAGGGTCACTGGTTCGTGAGATGGGTGGCCGCATAAATATGATGAATAAATAAATAAATAATTTTAACTGGATATTTGGGAGGAGGTTTCAGTCTAAGGGCCACTTGCATGCTGCAAAGCATGTGCTCGGTTTTAGGATGGCTCCTTTCCCATCTAGGGGATAGGATCCTATAAATGGGAATAGCTCCTCGGTTATCTTAATCAACAAACACATCAAGAGAGATATTTGCACATCTGCTTTAGACATTTTTCAGACACAGCTGCGAAGCCACAGGAGTTAGAAAGGGACACCTGCAAGATTCTTTTCCTATTCCAGGGACAGATGTTCATTCAAATTCTTAGCCCTTTTCCTATTTCCTTCTAGGTTTTGAGAGGAAAAGCTGGAGATGTTCTACTTCTTGCTCCTCGGAGATTTTTAAGTACCACGTTCAAGGTGAGAACATTTCACACCATGACATCCCAATGTTGGGAATCCATTCCTTGTTGGGGAGATGTGGGTAGAATATAAACACACATGTTTGTGGTAACTTTCAATTTTTAATTTGACATTGAGGGGGAAAAGTAGACTGAATGACCTTGCATTTCTTCCAGGCCTCAGATCTCCAGATTGAACTGAACAAGCATCTAAAGCCCAAACCAGATTTTAGCAAGCTGGTCTTTGGGAAAAATTTCACTGACCATATGCTCACTGTGGAGTGGAACAGTGAAAAAGGCTGGGGAAAGCCACACATCAAACCTTTCCAGAACCTCTCTCTGCACCCAGCCTCTTCAGCCCTGCATTACTCAGTGGAGGTAATGGTTTCCCATCTAAAGAGTCACAGATACATACCCTCCCTCCTCCATCTGCTTTGCTGGAGAGGGTCCTTATGTAAGGACTTGATGAATGATAGACAACAGGGAGATGATGGAGAGTGGATGGAGCCCAGGTGAGTGACAGATGAGGAGGGTCACAGGGTTAAAGAAAGAGCTGAGAGTATGGCAGATTAGAGGTAGTCCTCATACAGTGCTAAGCCATGGGTTATTAATTAAACCACAGCTGATTTTGTTCATACATGCACTAAGCCATGGACTGTGGTTTACAAACCACAAAAGCTGGATTCACACAATTCAGTAAGCTTAGCATGGTGTGTTCAACCAGTCTCAGAGAGAAATACTGAAAGTAGAAGTTTGGTGGTTAGGACGTTTTTGAAAAGGGGACAGAATTAAGGTGGGTTAGGTTAGTCTTCCCTAATCTGGGTGCAGGAGGACCACAACTCTTTGCATTTCTGTCCATCTGGAAACTACCAGATTGAGAAAAGGCTAGGTTACATTGTTGGATCAAGTTGTTATTCTTTATAAGTTAACTCAGAATAAAGATTCAGGTCCCAGAAATTTTTGTTGATTGATGGAAATACCTGAGTTCTACTCTCATTAGAATTTAGGAAGAAGGTATGTATCTTCACATGTTAATTTTGAATTATCCAAGTGTTTAACAGGGAGAGTCTCACTGCACTCCATAAATCAGTAGGAGTAAAATCTTGGAGATGAGCTTGACTCCTGATGACTTCATGGACATATCCATTTAGTTTTCTGAGCCTGCTGCCTGTTCTCAGCATCCACAAAAGTTGAAAACTGACAGCTAGGCTAAAGTGAAGTTGCCTAGTTTGTGATTCAGTGTTATGGGAAAACAAAATAATTTTAGGATGATTTAGGAATGTTAAACCAAGCATTTAACATTGGGGGGTGGGGGGAACCTGAGAGCCACAGTGGGCAAATGATGAAGCAAATGAGGCTGGGAATTGGTTTTTCTTTTCCTGTAAGATCAAAGTGGCAAAAAAGCACATTCTCAGTTTGCATGGTCAGAGAGAGGTCTGCGATTGGCCAAAATAGGTTGGAGAGGAAATGTAAATTGTCCGTCCCTGCCTTAGGACATAAGCACAGTACTGTGTTGTATGAAGTAAGCAACTGTGTTTCATTAACATGCTAAACCTTAAGCCCAGCTCATGTATCAGTAGGTTATATCTGCCACATAATTCATTTTACTTTCTTATATCCCCTTCCTCCTCTTCTTATCTAGCTTTTTGAAGGAATGAAAGCTTTCCGGGGTTCAGATGAGCGCATCCGGCTTTTTCGTCCCATGATGAACATGGATCGCATGTTACGATCCTCTCACCGAGCTTGCTTGCCTGTGAGTCTGTGGAGCACTCTCTTGTTCTCTCTCTTGCCCTAAATCCAAGATCAGCTATCTCTTAAACTATGATCCCTCTTCCGAGGCCATCTGTGGAACAGTGAAACTGAAAGACCGGAACCTGAGTTCAGTGGTAGGGGGTAGCCAGGCATAGAAAAAGACTTGAGTCCCCTCCCAAGATATTCCAAGAAAGACTGGGAAAAGCCTCTCCCTGCAACCCTGGAGGACCAATTGGAATAGGTCCCAATTTAGTATGCTCCAGTTGTGTTGGCCTCCAGCTGCCATAATTTCCAACCAGGCAGTTGGTAAGTGAATGGGGAGAGGCGGGCCATGTGTGAGACATAGTCTTAATCAAGGTGACTCTTATGTCAGCCTCCCAGGTAGACCAGACAGGAAACATGACCAGATGAGCTAATTCTACTTT